GAAAAGGCATTATTTTTATTTGATTCATTGTTTAAACGCTCGAGTGGACTTGAATGGCATACGGCTGTAAAATACTGACATGCTTTTCAAAACTTAAAAACGAAACTTTCATTAATTACAGACAACTATCTCCTAACGGATACTTCCATAAGACCGTGGACACAGACACCCAGGGCTGGCAACGCTTTTATCTAGACACCATTTATGGTGTACATTTTTCAATACATATAGTATAGACAAGAAAAGCTTTGATTTTGGTAAAATAAACTATCTAGGAAGAGATCTGGGAATCAAGTGACTTCTTAAACCGCCGCCTAAAATAGACTTCGTTTCGGAAACCGACCACTAGAGTTTAGCGTGTTCCCAACGTTCAGAGTCTGAGAGTGAAGCCTGGGTGAAAATAGAGCGAGCAAGAAAAAAAAGGAGGGGAGACTGGGAGATGCCGCTCTTTCTAGTCTCCCCAGTTTTTTCGCTTTTGGCTCAAAAAGCCACTTTTGCATCGCCATAATACACCTTGATTACCACCGCCCCGCACCCCTCGCCAAAAGAAGCGTAAACATTGGTTTTCTTTGTCCTGAGACGACTGTAATACCGAGGTGAAATTGAAAACAATTCCTATGCAAAATTTCTGCAGTAAACAAAGAGTATTATGAACAATGTGAAAGTTGTAAGTTTTTTTCTTCCCGCGCTACGCCTGAACGTCTGTAACAGGCTACTGCAGTTAGTTCCTACCGTTCGTTTTGTTTAACTCTCTACAAGACCGGCGGACACCTGTCTAAAACGGATACTTAGAAGAGACCCCAAAGGTCTTCTTCCTAGAGAGAGCTCTCTGACTGTAGTTTTATCTTGAACGATCGGGCAACCAGGCTAGCCCGTTTTCCTTGGCAAAAATCCCTTGCTTTAATCTCGCGTAGACACACTACTTGTTAAGACTGTTAAGTTCCATAATGGAGACGAAACCTCCATTTCTTCTTTGAAACAGCTATGCAGGTGTAAACTTGGGTATAAAAAATCACATGTTTTTTTGGCCTAACTTAGGGTCATAGATTCAGGAAGGGTGCGTATCAACCCACCTGTTTTCCAAGGGAAGGGCTTGTAATCAACACCCGCAAAGTCGCAAAATGTGAATAGTTTTCGGAAGTTGCGAGTCAAAAGAATCTCTATTAGTAAGCATTTGCGAGTTTGCACATCCCGGTCCCAGAGTTTTTTGTTGAAGTTTTTCTTCGCGTGTGAGAGAAAAAGCCACTCGAATCGCGAGCAAGAGGAAAACCTCTGGTTACCTCGGACTTAAATCTCGCTTTCACGCAAACGAGAGGGTCAGAATCTGACCCTTGGGCGCTGATTGCTTGATATTTTTACAAACACGCAAATCAATTTGATTGGTTCGAATAATTTGAACTTCCGAGGGGACGGCGAGGCCTTGGGACCAGGAAAGAGTTCGCGTATCGCATTTCTACTGGTGGAATTAATTCTTAGAAGCAAAGATTTTGTAGTGGACTAAAAATAAGTTCGAACTATGAAGCAATACCTCGCGAGAACAACTACAAATGTATCATATCTAGAGTGCAACGCTATCCAATATAAAAAGATTTCTGCACTTCGTCGGTGCTTAAGACGCTGTTTAATAAACAAACAAAGTCGATTAGAAAGCGTGAAGAAAAACCAATCTCAATAGCTCCCTTTAATCCAAAATTAATTTAACTTTTCTTTGTCTAGAATGTGCCGTCGGCTGTTGATCAAAGCTCTATTGAATTATCCAATCATCTGTTTGCTTTTAAGATATCATGAATTGACTTTTTTAGACGAAAGTGTTTTCACTGAGGCCCGATTCAATACCTCCCACAAAAGTTAATTATGTAGGGGATTACCAGGTTTATAGATGGTGCGGAACACTCTTAGAAACAGAATATACGCGCAATATCTGGACAGTAAACAAGCGCTGTGCAACTGGGAATAACTAACCGGTGTGGATTTTTTTGAAAGAAGAGACTTCAGACCTGAAGACAACACTTTTCCACAATTGGCTAGTTCTGTGAAGCAGGGCTACGATCGGCTACGACGAGTAGCTAGTAAAGAATTACGCTGGGCTAGGATTGGACAGGCAAAGTATTGTGCGGGTAATCCAAGTCGACGAACTGGCCGCGAAATTTCAATTTAGGACAGTTAGAGTCGACTAGTTTCAAGAAACGACTGACTCAGTTAAAATAAGCAAAGTAAGGAATCATTCTCAGGTTACATCCTACATTTTCGAGCAGCAGTGGTCTTGTTGTAAGCTGTCTAAAAATGACCTTCTCTTCAGAGCCGATGCCTTCATCTAATGAAGTCTGTCAGAGCCGGATAGAGCAAATGTCACCCTATTTTGATGTCCAAGAGTTCAAATGTACGTCCCGAAGTAGCAGCGATTCTTTTGAAGATGTCCTCCCCGCCATTGATGTGATGTCAATTTGTACTCAACTTTCAACGCAGCCGAGTGTATCTCGGGCTGCAAAGCGGAGAGTAAATTTTACACTAATGCCTTCTGTGTTTGGGGCAGACGGGAGCTCTTCACCTCAAGTTACAAGCTGGAACTATAAACCTGTTAGGTATGTAAATAACACGGAAAACGCATCCAAGAGAAGAGGGATGAATATGAACAAAAAAAAAGACAGAGATGAGTGGAGTTTAGCGGGGGAGCACAGTCAGAGAGTGGGTTACTCGTCCCCGGCTTTCCGCTGCAGATCTCCTCCCTCTCGACTGTACAAGTTCAGAAATGCACAAAACAAACCTGAACAAACTTCGTCTCAAACGGGATCTGTTTCCGAAATGACCATACAAAGAGCTATTCTCTTCCAGAGAACTCTAAACTCTAAATTTATCACGAATGATGAAAGACGAAAACACAATAACACTCCCATCTGCGGCTTAGAGCCAGAAATTCTGAAACTGCCTTTGAAAAAGCACGTTTCCATGCCGGATTTAAAGTCATTGCACTCAACGCTCTACAGTGGAGGAGAAAGAAAAGACAGACAACAGTATATTTTGAGGAAAACATACAAGAATGTCAGCACAAGAGAGAAGACTCAAGCATTGATCGTGCCAGACCTGGAAAACAACATAACAGTAGGAAAATGTCCATATTGTATCGCGGAAAGTCAAAGCCTCGGCAGTACCAAGGACGTTATCAAGTTTAAAAAGATTGACATAAAGTTACCGTGTCTGGATACAAACCAAGACCCATAAAGTCAGCTCTGATTTGGTATTGTTTAGTTCTTAAGCGAAGTTTTCATGCTGTCTAGATTTAAATTAAAAACCAAAACTAAATTACTTTATTTATCTTTAGCAGTATTAATAATAGCAGAAAGTTTAGTGGGGCCGAGTAAATACATGAAACAAATAATTCCAATGAAACATAGCAAGGATAAGAATCCAACATGGCCGCAAGCAAACACGTTGGCTGTTTTCGATTTGAACTCTTGGGACAACCGTTAACACATCCGAACTTGAACTCGGGGCCTTTTCTCTGTGGCTCTGGATTGTCCAAGTCCAACGCTCTTACTTATTACTCGACCATGGCAGCCTCTTTCAAGATCCACAAGGTGCGTGAGGCAGCTTACTTCTTAGCCCTCTGTTCAAAGAACTTTTCTTAACTAACTGACAAATGCGTTGTTCTCTAATACAAAGAAAACGATGCACCGAGGACGGAGATTGTTTATAGCATGACATTTCCTTAATACATCTTGGTTATACAACACTGGGCTTTGTAAGAGCATACGCGATATGTAAGTCAGTTTAGTTATAACTGACCTTGCTATTGGCAGCAAAGTTTAAACAACGGCCACGGTGAAGCATTAAAGAATAATTAGGAAATTTTGCGTCGCAGTTGTGTAATGACGTCAAAAAAATGTACCAGAAAGAAAGTGTGCTGAATGAGAAGAGATATTACTTTGCTTACAAACCGTTCTTTTTTAATAGCGATTTTTCTTTCTATGTTCTCGTTACCGTTAAGCCTACAATTCAGTTTACAGTAAAAAAAGCCGTCTCGGCCGACAAACGAAGCTTTATCAGGATGCCCACCCCCATGAAAAGTCAATTAACTTTGGAAAGCTACCAATCACCTAATACTAATTGATATAACTCCCATTGTTCTCATAAAGAACGCTGTTTTTGAACAAGTGCAGCTTTTATAATCCATCCAGATAATTCCAATATAAGCTTCTTATTTAAACTCTCAGTAATTTCCCAGCTGGCGGTCTGCTTTTAATAAAAACAAGACAGACAAGAGTTTTCTTTTTCAACTTTTATCTTGTTGACAGGATAAGATTCGACCGAGATGTTTACTTAAGCGCAATAAATGTACGTAATTAACACAACATGGGTTCATTTATTTTTAGCACAAATTCGTCTCACATCTTCGTACAATAAGTTAGTTAGCTTTGTCATGTAGATATCCACCAGATATCTGGATATCCACTTGTATTTGTATTTAATTTTGATTTTAATTATCCACCTCCTAAGGACTCCTTCTTAATGGAAAGCCATTCTGATCGAGTGATGTTTTTTACAGATCAAGGCCGATTTCACCAATTCTCTTTTTATATTCAAATTTTACCCACTTTTGAAGAGTTTGGACATTCTGATCACTGTTTGTTTGCCCAGGGCAAATTTCCTTGAAGTTTTGACTTGGTAATTAATCAAATCGAATGCTTGATCTAATCGTTTTCCTAGACATAGCGTGCAGCCAGTTACAGGATGTTTAGGTCAGCAAAGTGCTGAGAGAGGACAATGTGCGAAATTGTACGGACAGGAAAAAATAATTACAAGCTCATAATTACGTTTTTGTCGTAGAGGCGAGGAAATCAATATTCAGTGTAATTTTGAACGAGCACACACGGTACGTCAAGCTGCTAGCTACTGCAATCAAATTAAAACTTGGGGCTATAGAAGTTCTGAGATTCGGAGCGAGAGGCAAAAAAAAGTTATTTTGGCATGGTCAACTGTATTTGCCCTGTTCAAATTTTGCAATGTACAAAGGAAAAGAGAGATCGAAGTCTTCGAAACTAGCAGTCGGAGCGAAGCAGTCATTGTTTGTTCAAAGGACAAGGACCAAAGAACTAAGCAAAAGTTTGGGCGATTTATCTAACTTGAAAAGAGAAATCTACGAAAAGTTGAATGGAAAACTCACGAAGCCAAGCCCTCGTTCGCTTCGACCTCGAAGACTCGGCGAAACAAACGTTTCACTGGAAATTGATGATATAGGGACATCCTTAGCAACTAGGGATTGCTGCTGCGTTCTAAAGACAGAGATCAAACGAGAACACCTAACGTTGGAGAGTACGCCTGCACCACCGCCTTCAAGAGACGAACAACGCTTACGAGACATAGCGAGAGAAAACTCAAACTCAGCGAGTTTTAACACCATGAGGCAAAAGACATTAAAAGTTAATGATATTGTACACACAGCGTCGAAACTTGAAGCAGAGTATCTTAGGAGAGCGAAATCACCTGCTTATTCAAGGAACTTTACAAAGAGGACTCTAAATGGATATCGTTGTGTTTGCGAAGGGAGCAGTTACACTGAAAGAGTAAAACCAAGTTGCAGATTTAGGAAACAAGCGCTGATTGTTAAAATTCCCGGGCTGTCCGACAACTTAAACGATTATAATTGTAAGGGAGGATGGGACACGAGATCAAATTTTTCGTATCGACATAAAAACTAAACTTAAGGGTTTTTTTGGAATAGAGCAAGTATATTTATTATATAAGCAGATAGAATTTAAGCGTACTCTGACTGCCAGTGCGCGATAAACCTCCCAATTAAGTCAATTGCACGGCGGGTAATCCGAGTTATATTAAAGGACATAAATTAAGTATTTGTAAATTTTGCTCCAATAATCTGATAACTAATATTATCATATTTTTTGGATAAATTTTATTTTCAGTGCCGACAATGAAAACTGATAAAAGCATAGAAAGCGTTGAAAACCTTAAGGGACCAAGCCATCGAATTTTTTTCTTTTTAGCCACAAAAAAAACCTGACATTACCTTCAGTATAAATGTTCTTATTCTTAGCACTAGGTACTTGTTGAGAACACTGTTTTTATAATTTTTTTGGCGTGCGTTTCTCTAAAGTCCGAAAAGCTTTCGGGACTTTTGAGAAACGTACGCCTGACACAAGCGACTTTCCGCTCTGCAGACCGGCACCCTCATCAGAGCTTACCCGGCTGCGGGTTTACTGCGGGCACTTTAGAAACCCCAAGGATATTTTGCGAGTGGGCAAACGAAAGTAATATATATGCAACAACAACAACAACAGCTTTTGAGAAACGTACGTCTGGCACAAGCGACGTTTTGCTCTGCAGGCCGGCACTCTCATCTGAGCTTACTCGGCTGTGGGTTTACCGCGGGCACTTTACAAATCCCAAGGATATTTTTCGAGTAGTCAAACGACAGTGACATGCAAATCGGCTTCCTTTCCTGTCACAGAGTGGTTCAGGGTCGGCTATTTTGAAAATACAATCTTGAAAAAGTCAGGCCGGCATCGCTGAGGTGCGGCAGAGATCTACTTAAGGGTGTGTTGCACTCCCTTTCGCGAAGCTACTGGCGAATTTTAAAGGGGTTACAAGAAAACGGTAAACTGACGCTCAGATCTAATTTACAGAATTTGGCATTTGACTTCTCGACAACTATCAGGGAGGCATTTAGTTTTTCTGTACACCTCTTCTTTTAATATCAATTCAAAAGTAATTTACACAAGTATAAGTATTGTTCATATTGAAACTTAATTCTCTGAGTTAACTTTGAATTCGTAACTGACCATCTCCCGCGCGCATCAACTGCGTAGCAAAAGACAGCTGACCACGCCGAAAACAGTCGCACTCAGTCGATTTGTAAAAGGCTGCAAGGACGGAAATCTTATTATATCATGCACTTTATACTTTATATACATGCTTTCTGTGTCTGGTACAAAAGAATAGAATAACATATGAAGGCCTCTAGGACTATAAAGACCACTATAAAGTTCTTTATACAAGTCTCGCGTTTTCTTTGGAGGTTCTAGTCATCAGACAAATCCTTGTTATCAGATGAATAGAGTTCAATAACATATTTTTAGTGGTTTGAACACCGCACTTCTACAGTCTTCTTGTCGTTTTCGAAAGCATTCCATAGTATCTTTCTACAACTTACGAATTGCATAGTCCAGCCATGATAGTTTGAGCCTGTAGACTGCGTTCTTGAGTACTTAGTGTGGACGCAGCAGCTAACAGCTCACCACACCTTCATAAACATATACAGACAAGATAATCCATTAGTACAGGAGATATTAAAGGAGCAAGTTTGAACGAATTTAGGTGTTTTAACAATTCTAGTCAGTTACGACTTACCGTTTTTGTTCCTGAATTTCTGATTCAACAGTTTTTGACAATCCTTCCATTTCCTTAGCAAATGAATCAACCTGAATGATTGGAGAATGGATACATTAAACATTGCACTACATATGGTACCGGCCGGAATATGACACTCAGTAAGTTTGCCTTGAATACTGCTGTAAATGCAACGCGGGCTACGTTGATCAAAGTCGACCTAGCAAAAATCAGAATATTTTCATATGCAAGCTGTTAGGTTGAAAAGGATGCAAATGCTGAATGATTGTATCTTGCCTAACGTTTTCTACGTTCACCGTCCACAAACCTTATTAGTTTGCCTTCCTGCAAAACTCTTAAAGTTCTTCAGATTTGGAATGTGAACATACCGTATTTATTGGATTACATGCCGCGACGTTTATTAAATTTTTACCATTTCCAATGCGGCGTTTATTCGAGGGCTGCGTTTATTTCGAAATCTTTTTTTTTAAATCACTGACAACAGTTATTGTAAATCGTTTGTAAATATTAATATATTAAATATTAGTTTAAAGATTCTAGTGTCTCCCTTATTTCGCTGAGATAGAATAGTAAATGTCTGGATGGTGTAAATTACCAAGTGGTACCAGGGTTTTTCTTGTTATACTCGAGTAAACGCCGCATTCTTCTGATTTAGTGCGGCGTTTAATCGAATAAATACGGTAATACTTCAATGAGAAATTCTATCGCCTAGTATGTTAAAGCAATTACCAGTCATTTGTTTGTCAAAAGCTGTTTGTTTGTATGTTTTTTTGTTTAGTGTGTTTTCGTTCTCCTCGCATAGCGATACATTACATTCCCTTCTAATTCACCTTCTGCTGCTTATGCTTCGTAAGCTCATCAATTTCTCCCAACAGCCTTTCACTCTCATCCAGTACAGCGAACAGCTCGTCTACAATATGAAGGATCAAGAGCTAAAGTGAATATTTGTCTAAAATAACACGCCTACAAACTTACTGTAGTTAATTTCTAAATTTTTAAAAGAGTGAGTCAAAGTAAAACATATAAGTCGGCATCTTTCCTACAATTCATCACCCTGACCAAAGGGCACAAACTAAAGATGTAAGGTAAAAGATCTTGACCAAAACACCAAACGGTTACATACGGGTATCATACGAGTAACATACGGATACATACACCTCAACTCCTTATAGGTTTACGATATAGTAATTCCTTCGGGTTTGATTTTCTAACACTCAACAAAGACGGCTATAACACTCAAATGTATGTCATATTAATCGCTATAAATCAGTGAAGGCAGCGTGGCCGAGCAGTTAGAGCGCTGGGATTGCAATCGAGAGGCTCCGAGTTCAATCCCCGCTCTAATTGCTACCTGGATTTGTTCTCAGTAGTCCAGAGTGCAACTTCTAGGCCACGCTTGTAAATAGTCAGCTGGTTTGCCTCCGGCCAGTTGGGAATATTAACCATATATGTTTATTTCAATTATTTGTCTCTGCCCTTTGAACAGTATTCGTGGATCATCATGTAAACTATGGGGTTACCTGTAATTTTGTTACCCCTACAAAGTTTTTTATATTCAATTACTTTAATCGGAATTCATACCATGGTTATCAGGTAGAAAGACTCCATTGACGGACATGTGATGTCTAGTGGTGTCTAATGCTGCAGCTAGTTTACTGTACTCTAAGATCAACTTGAGCATGTTGGAGCCGATCGGCTTCAGTCCTGACATCTGCAAGACACAAAATACCCGAAATTCGGTCTTTACAGTAAGGATACAAAGTGACGTCAAGTTTCTTTATTTTTCATTAATTTTTTTTTGGGGGGGTGGGGGGGGGGG